CCCCCCCCAAGCGGAAACGCGGGGGTTCAGCAGGCTGGCGTCAAGTGGCAGCGAAAGAGCATGCTAGCCAATGAGGCGCCGGAAACTATCCAACCCGATATAAGTCCCGACATATTTGGGGACGATATTCTTGGCGTCCTCGCTCGGACTTCCAGCACAGGCCCGGTGACCATTGGCGCCCGCTCCCCCCCTCGTTCGAGACACCCCCCACGTTCAGATGACCCCACAGCCTCGTCGGGATGTGTCCCTTCATGCATGAGCGGGGCTCGCACACACTCGAACACTCGAGGTGCCCCTCGACCACTGGCCCGGGGTGACCCGGACCGCCTCTGTTCCGGCCGGCGTACTGGCCCCGGGGGGGGGGGCGGGGGGCGGGGGGCGGGGACCGCGACGAAAGGCGTTGGATGCCCCGGGGCGGGACTTTACATGCCCAGGACGATTGTGGGAAAAATGGCCGTCCTCAAATGCCCGCGCCCCAGCGGGCCTCTCCCTGGCACCCCCGTTTTCCGCCCCGGCCGCCGGGGCTGTATGGCCGGGGGATCGCCAGTCCAGACCGGCGCCCAGGGGGGTGCCTACCCCCGTTACTGGCGAAAACGGTCCTGGAACAAGTGCGTGCACGCCAGACGAGCTCCCGGCCGACGAACTTCGCATGACGGTTATTTGCCCTGATGGCCTGAAACCTTCGTCGGCCGCACCCCCGAGCCCGCGCGAGAGGGAGAGAGAGAGAGAGGCCCGGCGGGGAAATGGTAGTGCCAGCGGCGCAGGGAGGGGCCCGTGCAGAGGGCGCCGGTCCCTGCTGCACTCTGTCCATCCCCCCGGGTGAGGGCGCAGGCATTGGGGGGCGGGGGGGGGGGGGCAGGTCGGAGCGAGCCACAGTCGGTAGGACGGTGCGTACCACCAAACGCGCCTGTTGGTTAGGCGATCACCCTCGTCCCCACCTTCCCCAACATGGCCCCTTGCGCGCGCATGCCCCCTGACAGGGCGCCCCTACTTTGTAGGCGGTCAGCCACTAGCCGGGAAGAAGCACAGCCGAAGCCCATCCGGCACCCGCCGCGGCGGAGGCCACAGGCCCACGGGGGTGCGGAGTCAGGCGGTCCCGGAGAGAGATGGTAGAGCCGGCGAACCGGGCCGAATGAAGGAGGGACTCGCTGCGTGGCGGGGACCACCCAACCGACCGACCGACCGACCAGCTCTGCCTTGTCTGCCGCCCGGGAGGGATACCATCCTCGCACCCCCCTCCCCCCCCCGAAAAGGCGGCCAGCAAAAATCTGCC